CCAGCCAGGTCAGGGTTCTGTGGGAAAGGAGGCTGGGGGAATCGACATTACCTAGGCAGCCAGTAGCATATGTTGCAGGCCTTTTCCTAGATGCCCACCTTCTGCCATCTTACCAGTGGGGAATGGACAACATAGTCACCGAGAATGGCTGTGGCTCATTCTGGAGCTATGAAAAGGTCACTTCTCTAGGGGGTTATGGGATGAGCCTGCCCACAGAAATCAAAACACACTTTTTATTCAAGGGGACTCCATAACTTACTGAGGTGAATGCTTAATTTAATCATTAAAAAAAATAACCAAACAAGGAAATAATTGTAGGCTATGAATTTTCCTCTGAGTACATTTCTAGCTAAACGTATATCTTATTCAACGGTCATTTTCTAAATATTTGATGGTTTTGTTATTGATTCTTTTTAACTCAAAAGCTGTTTAGGGGCAACTTAAAATGTTTTCAAGTCATTGAGATATTCTGTTTGTTCCAGTAAGACCCTAAAGATGACCTTTCTCAGTGCCCTTCACAGCGTGGGACACATACTGGTGGTATGCCACAATATTTTCAGGGGACACATTAGACCCAGAATCACTTAGAAGAAAACATATTCCCTTTTCAGTTTCCTTTTCATTTCTCTGTCCCCTGATTATGACAGTCTCAGTTTGATGCTGCTGTGCTTTTCATGCCTCCCCAACAGTTGTTACTCTCTCTCTTTAAGACAGAAAAGCCCAAAGCTCTGCACCTCTGAAAGGCAGAGTTAGAGCTAGGGATGGCGTTAACTTCCCCCCAGACCACAGGGACCATTAGAATGGGGAGAGGTAGCTCCTGAGGGAAGTTGGAATGTTAATATGTGTGCTAGACTATGTCAGTGGCCCCAATTCCCGGCTCTTCCCTTTATGCTGTTGCAGTATAACTTTGTGGTGTCCTCTCACTGTGGATAAAGCATAACTTCATGTTCCTGGGCTTGACCATGTGACTTGTTTTAACCAATGGAATGTTAACAGACATGCCTAGCCCTGCCCCGCCCCCTCTCCGCAAGAGGATGAGAAATACATGGAGCAGAGCTATGTCATCCCAGGCAAGCCTAGCTGAGATCAGAGGAACTCCAAAGATACGTAAGAAAGAACTGTTTTTGTTTTTTTATGCCATTGAGTTGTTGTGATTTTTTTTTTTAAGTGCAGGCGTCAATTTTGTGGCAATAATGGATTCAGGCACTAGAAGAAATAGTAAACAGAACCTGGGCAGCCCAAGAATTGGATGTCTACTGCAGTCCATGTTAGAGACGAAGAGACGGAGGCTCAGAGAAGTGAAAATTCTCGCCTGGCTGGTAAGCGGTAGAGGTGGAATTTGAATCCAGGCATTCTGCCCCTCAGATCCCATCCCGGAGAGAAAACACTGATCTAGGGGGGTGAGAGGTGATAAGGCCAGGTCACGTGTGCAGTGAAGACCCTGGCTGTCACTTGCCACTTTTGCTGAACCTCCGAGACTGTCAGCTCCCTCTCCCCTTTGAACATGCCCCTAACTTTATTCCAACAAGGATTTCTTATTATGTGCCTGTATGTGTATTTCATAATGATAAAGCACTTGTATGTCACATTTGACAGGAGGGCTTTTTTCATCCCAGGTTTAAAGCACTACTGGGAAATAATTAGCCCTACCCGAGTCAAAAACAATGGGGCCCCATCAGAAAAGACAGTCTCAGAAACTCTCAGATCTTAATTGAACAATTACCTCTTATGCCTATGAATAGTTCATTATTACATGCCCTGTTATTATTAGCTGTTATTATTGTTTTAGATGAATGCTGAGGGTTTTTTAAAAATCAAAAGCCATTTTCAACCACACTGTTCATCTCCCCCTGAACACACGCTTCTGACATTCTCGAATGTCTTAGTCGGCAGTTGGTCTCCACACCTTGCCCAGATAAGCAGTGTATTCTGATAACTTCAGTTGGTTGGAAGGGGATTGTTAAATATTCCAGGCCTTTTGCTGTTGTTAATCTTTGACTCCTTGGTAAAAACATTTGCATGAGAATCAAGTATGCCCTACCTTTATTTTTTAGGACTCCAAAAATCACGGGGCACAGTGGGGAGATCTTTGTTCATCCCGAGCGTAGAGATTGAAACAAAAGGAGGTGGTGGTAATGGAATCAGAGGACAGGAGGAGGGCCACTGGAGTGGAGACCCAAGCCCCTGGGATGGAGGATGGGAGCCTGGGTCAGGAGAGCCTGAGCCGCGAGTCTTCAGTCCGTGAGGCATCACAAAAAGGAGGAAACCAATGAACACGGATAAGGCACATATCATGTGCTAGGCATTCCTATCTCAGGAACCACGTACAGAATTTATGGACTGGTCCTGATGCCTCCCCCGAAATCATATTCCCTCTTCCCGATTTACGGCACCTCATTTTCTTTAGAGTTTTCACCCTGGCTCAGGCAACCACTGTGACTCTATTTCCCTTACTAGGTATTGGCAGAGGAATAGCCACGTGAACCCGTTCTGACCCCTGAGACAAGAGGGCAAGTCTGAAGGAGGAGGAAGTCTGGGAAAATAAGAGAAATTTAGGAAAATACTGTCTTCTCCTTTGCTGGGTGCCGTCAGGTCTGGATGTGATGCCTGGAATGGCAGCAGCCATTTTGTGACCATGCGTGGCTTGATGGAACAGAAAGATGAAAAGGATCTGGGTCCTTGATACCATCAAGCAACTAAATTAACCAACCCTGGGGCCACCCTACCTTAAGGCTTCTTATGATTGTTTGAGATAATACATTTTATTTCTCATTTAAACCAATGAGTCTGGGTTTCCTATTACTCTGCCCAACTCATACAGATACAAGAACAAATTTTTATCCCTACTTGAAGAAAGTGAGACCCAATGAAGTAAACGCACTTGCCTGAGGACACACACAGCCTGGACATGGGGGAGCCAGGAGTTGAACACTGTCTTAGAAGGAGGAACTTTCTGGAAGGTGGCAGGATTTTTTTTTTTTAAACCTGAGCGTTTTTGGCCTTTCTAAAGCATGCACATGATCCTTTTTCTCCACAGCAACAGGTCGCAATGGCTTCTAACAGGTGAGGACAGGAGAGATTGGTTGGAGCTGAGACTCAAACCCAGGTCCCCATATCCCAGCTCACAGTCTTCTCAGTACCTCAAGGTGCTCAGGGACATCGGAGAGCCCCCCTTGCTCTTAGCTTCTTCCGTTTGGGATGCACCTGCTGGGTCCCACAGATTAGCCCTTGGGCTGCTCTGAGATTGGCCACCAGGGGCCACTATAGTCACAGCCTGGGGCCTCCTCAGAGGCCTGAGGGAAACTTGGAAGCAAGGGACATGGTTAGAAGAGCCCCTAACTGAGCTCCCCTTAATTGTGCCCTGAGGCTGTAAGACTCAGGAAATCCCTGCCCCCCCCCACACACACACACACCGCCACCACTACAAGGAGAGAAGGTGGCCTAGATCCACCTCTGGAGAGTCTAGGACCTAGTTGCTGTGTGCCCTCAAGCAAGTTGCCTCCCCTCTCTGAACCTCACTTTTCAAAATAGGGGTACACATCCCCTCTTCTCAAACGAGGGCTCCCTTTCTCCCCTTGAGTCTTCCCCCTCTTTTGGGTCTACTCTGACGGTGGACAAAGACCATTTAGGATGTGGTGGCCCCAGAACTGAGGCCCAACAATTCCAGGTCAGGGTCAGATTCTAGTCCTCGCTCTGCTGCAAACTTATGAGTCTGTGTTGCAGTCGGGAAAACCAATCAAATCTCTCCCCTCTCTGGGTCTCAGTTTCCCCAGTTGCAACACAAGAGGCAGGACTCAGTATTTCCTGAAGTCTGGTTCGTTCCTTGGGATGTTAATAGAAACAAAAACTCAGGTGATCAAAAATGTTAAGGAAAGGCTGGATTAAAGTCAAAAGGGTATCTTGCCTGCAGGACTTTTCAGAGCCTTTAAAATGCTAAGGTGATTTGTGCCACTCCAAGAGGGAGGGGTGATTCGAATCTGTTTCTCAAACTTGTGTGACCTGGAAACCCAACTTTCCAAGGTGAAAGTCACCTGGATTAGGGTGATGACAGAAATAACACACCTAACTTTTGGGCTACCTCCTACTAAACAGGATCTGTGCTGCCTGGAGGATTTGACCACCCAGCTCCTGTGTTCAACCCCCATGGCACGTGTTTTGTTTTGTAACGTTAGCCTCACTTTACAGCGGAGAGTCAGCTCAAAGAGGGCGATCACTTGCCAAAGGCCACATGCCTATGAGGGGTAAGATCAGGACTAAAACCAGGAGGCCCCACTGCCCTCTAGTGGGGGTGTGGGTGGGGTTGCCTCTCAAGGACAAATTTGCCCTGTCATCCTGATCACCCATCACCTGGTGCCATCCTAGTCCTTCAGGTGCCACCATCCCCTATGACAGATCAGGAACTGAGACTCAGAGAGGCCACACAAGTTGCCCGGAGTCACACATGGAGTCTATGTGATACTCTCTTTTCCGCCTTCTGCTACCCTCCGGCGAGCTGGTGATGGTGGTGATTTAAACAAAACATTTTGTCCACTGGGCTTGCTCACCTCACTGGCCAGGTTCCACCTTCCAGTGGCCAGCTGGGGGAGCCGGTGGGGACGCCCAGGGCCCTTTAAGAGAGCCCGGATGCGCAGGCGCAGTGCAGTGGAACCTAGGCGTGCGTGAAACACGTGGGCGCGGTGTTGGCTGCCGCTGAGACCTGAGCTCTAAAGTCGCTGTTTCGAGGCAAGTTAGGGGTGGAACTTGTCTCAGCTTCCCCTTCCCAGAAACGGGGACTGCTCCAAAGACTAGGATACGCGCCAAGGAAACACGGAGTCACCCTGGAAAGGTCAGTGTCCCTGTAGCAGGCTCTTTATGCAGATATTTCAGGAAGCTCTCGCGCCCCTCTGGGGCAGCTCCGATGTCTCTGGGAGATGTGGCGATCTTCTAATAGTGGTTGTGACAGTAAGTGGTTATGTGCCAGCCACATGTGCCTACTATACCGGACAGCTTAGCTCTTAGCCTGTGTGAGACGCAGACAGCGAAATGGAGAGGAGGGGTATGCTGGTGTCCCAGGAGAGGCTTAGAGACAGAGGAAGGAGTGCACCTGGGTGCGGGGCTGGACGGGATGGCAGATTCTCCCCGCTGCTCCTTCACCAGCCGGAAGTCTGGCCGCTAGAGATGTGGGACTCCAGGCTGGACTAAGGTTCTGGGAACCAAATAGGCCACATCTGGAGCTTGGCAGTGGTTTTATGTTCTGTGCCTAGAGCGGCAGTTCAGAGCGCTAACTGAATCAGAAAGCCTTTCTATCGCAGTTGCTTCTCCCCTCTCTGCTCTCCATCCTCAGCTGTGTGGCTTTGAGCAACTGACTGGGCCTCACTAGCCTCACCTGTGACATGGGAAGGTGCACCTGTATCACCTGTATTGCGTGGTGCGCCTGAACCGGTGTGAGGACTAAATACAGTAGGTCCACAAATAACTTTGTTTTGATCAACGATGTTTCATTATAATGCCAATGAGATGCCACAGGAACTTAGCTCTTGTTTGTATCAAGTGGCCTGTGGTAAAATTGGTTTTGTCATACATTGTTTTGCTTCAAGTCGCAGACCCTATGGACATTAAATGCGGACTTAACTGTACCGTTTAGCGCTGCACCTGGTGACTCATCTGCCTGCAGTGACTGTGGGCGGCTGGTAATTGTAGCAGTGATAGTAACATTCTCATTGTCACCTGTTCTGCCCCTCCAGTGTTGTAATCAAAGGTGATTGTATAAAGGGGAAGGGTGCCGCAATGCTGGAAGGCCCTCTGAGATCAGCTAGCTCAGCTCCCAGGGAGAAGGAACTCTGCCAAGTCACCCAGGGAGCCTGTGCCAGGGCTAGACCCCCAGCTGGGCCTGCGGCCGGGCCAGACTGTGCCACTCGGACCTGCCCGGCAGAGGACGGTTTCCCAGGACAGGAGGTGGCTCCTCAGCCCCCACCTGCAAATGCGAGGGACCTGGCCTGGAGGGTGGTTCTAGTCTCCCCTTCAGGCCCTCTCTGGATGCCCCAGTGCGGGTGCGCCTGGCAGTGGGCCCAGGACGCGGGGACCTGGGCTAACCATGTTGGTGCTAAGGTGGTCCCTGGGTTCAGCCGAGCCACAGGCCAACGCCCAGCCCTGAACCTGGCTGTGGACCCTGCTGCCCTGCCCCCTCCCAAGTACCCGCACCGTGCTTTGGTCTCCCTGAATGCCATCTCGGGTCTGGTTGGGAATGGAATGTTCAGGGCCACTCAAGAGTAGCAATGGTAAGATTTGAACCCACATCTAGCTCACTCCAGAGGCTGGGCCTGCTGGGCTTGCCTGCCTCCAGGGGCCACCCCGGGCTCTGTGATGCCCCTGGGGGGGCTTCGGCTGTGTCTGAGGGTGGAGGCTTGGGGAGAGAATGGTGTGTGGAGGCAGCCTGACGCAGGACGTGGGGTTGATGCCAGAATCTGCCTCCCTCTCCCCACCCCCATGGCTGTTTTTCACATTCTCTGCGCCCTCATCTGTAAAATGGGGATGGTTTTATGCCACACTTGGGAGGGGTGTTGTGAGACTCCATTATGTGAAGTCAGAAAAGCAGTGTCACCTGCTGTTTACATACCATGTATGATTACTTCCAGCAGCCTTTCACGCAGCACTGATTTACTCAGCTTGTCACCCTGCAGGGCCCTGCTCCCCAGGGCATGAGGATGTGCTTGGTTCATTGACCCAGCTCAGAAGGGCCTGGGTTCCGCCCTGGACATGACCCCTTCCTCTTGGCGCCTCCGTTTCCTTCTCCATGTTTTGCCAGGCTCAGGGGCCTGGACTTAAGGAGGTGGATGCCGCCACTGCAGGGTCACATCCAGGGAGTCCCCTCTGTCCCCACCTCTGCCAGGACCTCACCATGCTACGCATCCAGGCAGAGTTTCATGCATGGGAAGGGAGGCCCGCATCAGACTGAGGACTCCCCAGTGCCCCCCACCTGGATATCAGTGGAGAAGGTAGGGACAGGACATGAAGAAGAACCTATGCTGTGAGGTTCAAACTCCAACTTTCAGACCTGCTGTGTGACCTCAGGCAGGTCACTTCACATCTCTGAGCCTCAGTTTCTTCAGCTCAAATACCCCCTACATTGTAAGGAGTGTCGAAACCCCAACAAGATACATTGTATTTGGAAATGCCCAGCACACAGGAAGTGCCTGATAAACCCTGAGCTCCCTGGGGGTGGGGTTGGTCACCTGCAAGTCCCCGGGCACCAGGGAATGAGGTGTGCTGGGGATGGCCAGGGAGAAGACCACTGCCTGGCCACGTTGGCCTGTCCCCAGCTACACTGTTCCCATGAAAGCTTGGAGCGTGCCAGGCACAGGGGAAGAGCTGGGAAGGAATTTGGTGATGCCAGGGGATGTCACCCTCAAACAACCACTGCACTATTCAGGGAAGCCGCCGGGGACCTGGGTTTGGTTCCATCCCAGCTGCTGTATGTATGGATCACTGGCCTGACCCAGTGGCTGACATGCGAACAGGGCAAATGACAGTGTCCATCTCGAAAGGGCTGGAAGAGTAAATGGAACACCGAATGCAAAGCGACCCGGCATGGCGGGTGCCCGGAGGAGGCTCCTGGCCTGCTTCCTCGGGGTTCCAAGCCTGGTCAGCAGGGGAGGAGACAGCCTGTTTTACTCCTAAGAGGCGGAAGGAAGAAAGCACAAAAACAAGAGCTACAAAACAATCCCACAGCTGAGACACCATCTGTGTTTTCCCTTTTTTTTTCTTTCTCTTCGTTTTTAAAACAATATAGTGCAGACCGCACTTCTCACAGTAGAATATAATGGTCAATTTTAGTATAAAAAAAAAACATTCTCAGAGATTTGTAAATGCACTTAGTGCTTGAACAGGCCTTGGAGAGAGATACAGTACCGCTTCCGGAGCGCCAGAGGGGCCAGGACTTGGGGAATTTGGGCCTGGGGAGCTCAGTGGGGGGGACCTCTGCCTGTCTTCCCCTGTGTGATGGTTCCGGGGCAGGCCTCAGAGGGCAGCTGGCTGGGACGGAGTTGTACCAGGTCTCCTGACTAAAACCAGAGGGTCTCCTGTCCCCTCACTGGCTCCTCGGAGAAACCCTGAAGAGGGCAGGCTAGGGTCCCTCTGATGGGGTCTAAGACGGCAGGCCCATTGTTAGCCCCTGTGGTACCTTTGTGCGAATAGGGAAATGGCACCCCTTCCTCAAGATTCGGAAAATCGCTGTAATAAATATACAAGTCTAGGATGCAAGTGGTGTCTCCGTGGATGAGGCGCCCTTGTGCAGTGCACAGCCTACACCACTGTGCCCAGCAGCCCTGTAAGATGTACTGGAGAGAAAGGGGATGGTGGTAGTCCGGGGTTTGGAGAATTGGGATGGGGGTGTGATTTTCTGTGTTGGGAAGGAATGGGGGGAGGGGGAGGAGAGTCTGGAGGAGGAGGAGCAGGGGGACCAGTAGTCCCTGGAGCCTCTATTAGAGTGGTCTTCACCTGGATTGGCCAGTGGAGGACACGGGGGGCCCAGTGACTTCCATAAGGCCCCCTCTGCTCCTTTTCCAGGCTACCGGGGAGCTCGTGGGGGGAGAAGCTATCTGACCCCTGGGAGCTACTTTGACCTCACTCTGACTCGAGACCGTCCCATTTCTTCCTTCATCCCACCCTGAGCTCCTCTCCTGGGAGAGCCAGAAAGAGCCACTCCTATTTTTCAGTGGCTTCTCTTTCCCTGCTGCTCTGCCAGTGTGGATGGAGGAAGGCATGGACGTCAGCATGCCCCAGAGTCCTCCCAGTGTCCTGGGGTAGCGGATAGGGGGAGGGGCCTTGGTGAGCAAGGACGCCTTCCCGAACCCCAACAGGCATGGCAGCAGCCAGCCTGGCTTCCCTGTGGGCATCGGTGGGCACAGGGCAGGGCTGGGTGCCCCTGTGCTCCGCCCACCCAATTCTGTGGCCTGCCTCCCCCCGTCGGTGCCCTGTCCATCTGTCCGTGCGGCCGCCAGGTGGGCCTTATCTGTAGACCGGCAGGCGGATGTGGGCGTGCTGGTGGTCGAGCAGCCGGGGCACTGCCACTGTCTCGTAGCCCTTGCCCAGCATCTGCTCTTTGATGCAGGGCGGCCGGATATCATTGATGAGATATTCCAGGGACTGCAGGCTGCTGCTCAGCACCGCCGTGTTGCACACGCTCTTGCTGGGCAGCCCTGATAGGGCCTCCGCGGGGGGCCCCGCCAGCTCCCGGGCCACCCCAGGCCCCAGCTCCGTGACCGCCACCGCCGCTGGGTTGTAGCAGTCGCTGGTGGGGGTCACCAGCACGCTGTTCCAGGGGGCGGCGAAGTACTGGCCCACGGTGAAGCTGGTGGGCAGCCCCACACCGCAGTTGAGGGGCGACCCACTGGCCCTCTCATACGCCCGCGCCCCGCAAGCCTCTGGGGACTTATTGGCCGCCGCGCCGCCGCTGTAGGCCCGCAGTGGCTGGGGTGGTGGTGGGGGTGGCTTCTGTGGCCACAGCAGGTAATCCAGGCCGCTGTCCACATACCCTGCAGGCTTGGTGGCCCCAGCCAACGTCAAGGCCGCTGTGCTTCCCGGGCCCAGCTCGGCACCTTTTCGGCAGTCAGGCAGGCCGGCAGCGGCCGAGTAGGCCATGCCGGGGAAGCTAGGCACAGGGCCGTGCTTGGCTGGGCTGGGGTGGGGCACGGCCACGCCCTGGCAGGCAGTGGGTGCAGTGCCTGGGGCCTGGCACTGCTGGTTGAGCTGGTAGAGGATGCTGTGGATGGAGGGCAGGTTGGAAGGCGGCAGGGCCATGCCACGGCCAGGCAGGGGGATGACGGAGGTTGCAGTGGCAGCAGCCGTAGGCAGGCCAGGTGGTGGGGCAGGTGCCTCGGGTGGCTTAGGGTAGGCCAAGGGTCCCAGAGTGCTGGGCGCTGGGTAGGGTGCGATGCCCACCTGCACGGCAGCTGGTGACAGCTTGGTCCGCTTGCCCTCGGCGCTCTTAAGCACGCTTTTGGCGGGCCCAGCAGGCGCGGCCACACTGGAGGAAGAGACAGCGGCTTTGACAATGGCCAGCAGGCCCTGGTAGCCAGCGGCGTGCTGCGGGTAGGGGCTGTAGCGCTGGCCACTGGTGTCGTAGCCGTTGATGGTGCGACTGAGGTGCTTGTGCTGGGGCACACGGATGGTGGTGGGGAAGATCTTAATGGACAGCGGGCTGTTGGCCACCTTCTCGGCATAGGCGTCCAGCTCGGCGGGGCTCGGGTAGCGGGAGGAATGCATGGAGCTGGCCACCGTCTCACCTGTGGGGACAAGTGAGGAGAGCAAAGCACAGGTGAGCACCAACCTGGTGACATGGGGAGGCCTGAAGCCACAGCCTCCAATGCTTCCCAGGACTCCTGGTGCTGCGGGGCCGCCCTCCCTTCGCTCATTTCTCCATTCATTCATTCGCTCCTTCATTCACTCCTAAATTTTTACGCTTTGGGTCAAAGTGCAAAGTATGTAAAAGGAACTGCACACATCGTAAGCTTGCTGAACGTTCACAAACGGGACACGCTCATGTAACGACACCTAGGCCAAGGGCTAGGATATTGCTGGTACCCCAGGAGCCCCTGCACCCCCTCCTGGTCACTAGCCATGCCCAGGTTAGCTGCTCTCTGACTTCTAAGTACATGGACTAGCTGTGCCTGGTGTTTGTCCGTGGTGAGATGGACTCACGCGACGCACGCGCGTTTGCGTCGGCCTCTATCACTTCAGGCTGTGTTTGAGAGATCCACCCGGGGGGCGGTGGCTCGCTTTCCACATTGCCGCGTGCTGTTCATGTCTGACTACCTCACAGTTTTCTCATCCTTCCTCCTGTTGATGGCATTTGAGTCGTTTCCAGTTTGAGGCCGATACACATGGTGCCCCCGCCCCCGGTGCATGTATTTAGTGAGTTCTTTTGGGAACACGCCCAGGGGGAGAATTGCTGGGACACAGGAGAGGCCAGTGCTTGGCTTTAGGAGAAAATGCCCCAACAGTTTGCCAGAGAGACTGTGCCAGGCTACACGCCCACCAGCAGAGCTCAGGGCCCCCACACCCTCGACGGCACTTGGTGTTGTCTATCTTTGTATCTGCCTTGACGTCGTCTGGTGGGTGTTCATTGCCCCTCCCCGTCCTCTCGGCATCTGCCTTTCCTCATCTGTAAAATGGGGTGCTTCAGTGCGGGGCTCCGTGAGCGGAGCCCAGCATGGCCTGACATGGGGGGAGCTGCTGCTGTTGGCTTTCATCTGGGCTCACCTTCCCTTGTTGGGTTAGTAGGCAGGTGAGAAGGAGGGGTCTCACCCCCCCACTCTCCAGTCCCTCCCTGAGTCTGCCTGTCACCTGCAAGGCCAGTGTGGTGGCCACTGCCTTTGTGGTGAGCTGTTGGCATGGGACTGAAGTAGGTACTTTGTGTGACAGGCTGACTATTCCCACCGTCAGTGGGCATAACTGGCCACAGGGGAGGCACGTCACAGGGGGGCAGACCTCCTTCCTAAGCCCCTCCCTGGTCCTGAAACATGCCTCAGTGCCACCCAGGACCCTCCCTGGGACGTGGGGACTACACAGGGCAGACAGTCCCCCTGCTTGGGCTTTGGAGCTGGCCGGCCTGGTTGTGGGGCTGTGTGGCCTGGCTGAACCTTAGTTTCTCCACCTGTGGCACAGGGGCAATGATCTGTGGGTGGCCTTGAAGAAAGACTGTACCAAGTGGCCCAGCAGGGGGTGAGGTGCATAGTAGCTGTGGGGTGATCGTGACTGCTCTGGGCTCTTAGGCAAGGAGGACCGTGCAAGGCCTCTGAGGCATATTGCCTTCCTCCCAGGGCCCACCAGTGACTCTGCGGGAATTTGGGAGTGGGGCTTCTGAGCCTCAGATTCATCATCTGTAAAACAGGGGTGCTGCTGCTGCTAACACTGCCTCCCACCATGGCTGTGATGGTTTAACCATCCATGTGCAGCAGAGCATGTTAGCAGAAGCAGGTGCTCTCCGAGTGCGAGTTTGTACATACCCTCCCCGTCTGCTCGCTTGGGGCGAGGGCCTTCCCGGGAGAGGAAGGGGCAGGGGCTTGTGCACAGGTGGGCCTGGCATTGTGGCTGCGGCAGAGTGTGGACACCACGTTCCATCCTTCCAGGGCCGCACCCACGACTCCTTCATGGGCTCACAGCCAATCGGAGCAAAACTCGTGCTGTGATGGGGAGGGCAGACAATGTGGGGACGCGGGGGCTGCACCCAGCCAGGGCTTCAGGGATGGCTTTTCAGAAGAAAGAGGACTCCAGTTAAGGTGAGGGTGAAAGGGGTGAGGCGGGAGGGGAGAAACATATTTTAGAAGAAGCAGCGTGGGCAGAGGTCCACAGGTGGGGAAGCATGTCTGGGTGGGAACTGTAAATAATTCAGAGACAGCAGAAGCCCAGAGCAGCATGCAAAGACCAGGAGAGGCAGCTCGGCAGGGGGTGTGTGGGGCCAGAGAGGAAGGGGTTGGGTGCTCTTCCCTGCAGGGCAGTGGTTTTTAAGGAGCATTCCTGTCCCTCAGGGCACATTGGCAATGTCTGGAGACCTGTTTGGTTGTCACAACATGAGGAGGGGGTGCTGCTACTGGTATCTAGTGGGTATTGGCCAGGGAAGCTGCTAAACATCCTACTGTGCACAGCAAAGCTCCCACCACATGGAACTGTCGGCCCCAAGTGTCAGCAGGGTCCCAGGGCATCAGCAGCTGGGGGAGGTTTTAATCCGAGGAGGGCAGGGACAGGGGCAGGCATGCATGTTAGAAAGGTCATTCGATCTGCCCTGGGGTGCAGGAATGTGGTCTGACCTAGGCAGGGCAGCAGGGAGGGGAGAGGTAGGCAGCGCCAAGCACCCCGAGGAGGCTGGGACAGTGCCCCTCCGTCCGTCTGGCCTAACCTGGGCCAGGCAGGAGAAGCCAGCCCTGGGCCCCCATCCCGACCCTGCCTGGGGCAGCCCCCACCTAAGTGGCCTAAAATAAACTCAGTGTGGAGAATGGAAATGTCACTTTGGCCAACGGGGGAATCTTTCTCCGAGATTGGATTTAAACTACATTATACAAGCAATTTCATGGGCACTTAGCACCGCTCGGAGAGTCCCGCAAAAAAGGGACCAGCTCTTCATTTACCAGCCATAAATCAGCAGTTGCTATAATGAGCACAAAAATGTCACTTTTATGCAATTTTACAGATGAACAAAACTGGTGAAATTAACTGTGGTAACCTACTATAGTCAGCAAAAGCGGCTGCTGGGGAAAAAAAAATTTTTATCTGTATATATTTCTGTTCCTCTTAAACTCTCTTCCCAAGCAAGTTTCTGCCATTGTGATGTGAAAACTCATTTGTCCTCACCATTATACTTTCATTTGGAGTTTATCTTGAGTATCCAATGAGCCACCAACTGTGAAAATGATTAAATCTACAAAATCTATCTAATGGATGGAATAAATTAGGTGTTTAAAACCTTAAGAAGAAGGGGGGTGGGGGAGAAGCCATGCCTGTTACTAGTTCCCATTCATTGAAAGAAGGAGCCTGTCTGGCTCCTGATTGGTCAACAGGGCTCAGCAAGAGTGAGTTGGTCCCTCTGGCTTTTGGTGGAGCCGATGGTGGAGCCATTGTAACACAGAGGCTGCCCTTTGGTGAGCGTAGGACATGGTAGGCTCCGGGCCTACAGCTTTTCTCGGCTCCGTTTCTTTGGAGCACCTGACAGCTCTGAGAGGTGAGGGGTGGTCCTCCCCATTCCACAGATGAGGAAACAGACAAGTTGTGGCTTTCGGCAGGTGGCCTCCAAGACCTGCCGTGCCCCGCACCCCAATGATTCTCACCTCACAGTATCCATGTCCTTGTGTGGTCCCCTCCTACTCCAAATGGGGCTGACCTGTGTGACCTATAAGATACTGTGGAAGTGAAGGAGTGTGACTCCCAGGGCTAGGTCATAAAAGGTACTGCAGCTTTCTGCTTGCTCGTTCTCTCTTGGACGGCTTGCTCTGGGGGGAGCAGACTGTGGGGAGGCCTACAACGGGGACCAACTGAGGCCTCCTGCAACAGCCTGTGAGCCTTCTTGGAAGCGGGTCCTCCGGCCACAGTCAAGCCTTCCGATGACTGCAGCCTCATGAGGGACATGGAGCAGAACTGCCCAGCCAAGCCACTCCTGAATTCCTGATCCACGGAAACCATGAGAGACGCTGCATGATTATTGATGCTTTAAGTCACTAAGTTTTGGTGCAACTTGTTACGCAGCAATAGATAACTAACACAGGCCCCCGTTTTACAGATGTGGAAAGGGAAGCTCAGAGCTTCCTGAGACCACACACCGGTAAGGGGCAGAGCTTGAATGGGGCCTGGTCTGCTTTCCAAGTCATCCTTGGTCCCCTCTGCCACCCCTCCCTCCGCACCCGATGGAAGCCAGGAGATGCATGCGGCTGTCCCTCTTCTTCCATAGAATGAGGGGCACGATCCTGAGGAGGGACCATAAAGTCAGCCTGGAGGCTCAGAGAGGCCGGAGGTGACCCCTCAGGGCCACACGGGCTGCTGCCTTGCTTCTAGAGACTACCAGCTGGTGACCCTGAGCTGGTCTCACCTGGACACGTGCTTGGGCCTGCTCAGTGCTCTTTGGTGTTTGGGATGTAAGAGCCTTCAGGTGGACAGGCAGGTCGCCAGAGTCCCCTGTCCCAAACCTGGCCTGGCTGGGGTGCCGCTGTGGCCCCTGTTTTACGCCTTGTTCCCAAAGAGCTTTCGCCTGAGCCACCCAGGGTGCCTCAAACCCAGCCTTTCCTACCAGAGTGCCATGGCCATGGCTTGGGGTCCCTGGCTACTCGCTCCTGCCTGGGCCCCTGACCCCAGCTTGGCCGAAGGCTCCAGACCGTCCCCCGGAGGTGGACCCAGCCACCAGTGTTCAGTGCCATTCCGTAGCTTTGCTTTGGCAAAGGTAATGACACAGAAAAAGGCCTCACATGAAGGAACCAGCTGAACCTGCGGTCTGGGGCAGGCTTCTAAGCAGTGGTGAGGATGGGGTTAATGTGGGGCAGGTGAGGGGCCCATGGCCCTGTGGGCCCATTGGGGAACCCCAGGGCCCAGCCTCGATGCTATTCCCTCTTTGATTTCTCTGAGTCCCCCTGTTGGGCGAGAGGACCCCATGGGGGTTCCCTCAGCGCCTGGCTTCGTCGCCACATGATTGTTGGGGGCCTGTCCCTCTCAAGAGCCCACCAGACGTGGGCTCCCTGAGCTGGCTTGTTCACTGCTGTGTCCCCACTCGCACATAGTAGGTGCTCAAGAATGTTGTGTTGAA